AAAGTACTCATTTCATTAGCAAATCATCATATTTAACTACTCAAATTAACGTAGAAACACTTAATATAAGAAATGTTTACTCATTTCTAGGTCATTTTTGCAGTGAACCCTAGCACTAGGAGCGAAGAGCTGACAAAACAGATGTGGCGCCATCTACTGGCAGTACTTCTACTACCAGGAAACCAGATGGTAACCTTTGATGCAGCTACTGAATAAATCCCAACCATGCTGACCCAACATCCTTGAAACTACGAGGATAAGCATTGCTAACAGCATCAGCACTCATTCTACTGTGTCTATCAACTTTGCAGCAAAAACAGAATGCTTCCTGAGTTTTAGTTCATTTAGGTTTAGCATACTGTGACAGTCATCAGTTTTTCCAGCACATCTCAGTTTTGTTGCCTCTTGGAATCAAAAATCTCCTTTTTAGGCTTGATCTTGGAATAAAATCTTTCTTTCAGCAACTACGCTCGCCTCCATTGCTTTGGCTTGTTGACCAATTGTAAACGTGCAGAGATGTAATCCTGGTCACATGATGTTGTTATGGTAAATATACACAGAAAGGCTATATTTACAAACAAACTGAGTAAAGATAAAGCTTAAAAGACAAAAATAGTAAAAAACATGCCTGTAAGTCTGTAATTTGTCCAAAAAGAAAAACAACAACTTTGTATGCAGCTAGATTTGTGTCAAATGTAAAATAATGTGACCATGTACCTTCAAAGGAGATCATTCCATAACAATTTATATATATATATATATATATATAAAACAAATTCAGCACCAATTAAACTATTAAATTTATTCAAAGTATTCAAGGTTTTAACTTTGCTGCTGTCTTCTGTTCGATTGTTCCACATAAATGGATCGTACAAACTTAATGCTGCCTCTTCGTGTTTGGTTCTGGTTCTTGGAAGGCAGATGAAATTGTAAAATATTGTCAAATGTTTTTGAACGAAGATGCCTGCTGGTGTCAGTGAGGTGCTGATCCATAGAAGCTCGGTCTTGCAGTTTGTGACAACTAGCTTATTACCTACTACAGTACCCACTCTGACATCATGACCTTTTCATGCTAAAAGATCCACTGGATTCATTTTTGAAAGACATGCTTCCTCCAAAGGTGGATACTTACCAGTTACATTTACTCAGTTACATTCAGGGAGGAATTTACCATTAAGTAATAATAGGCAGTAGCCTAGGGCCCCAGGTTCCTGGGGGCCCCTTAAAACTCTGTTTACAAGTGTGGTTAATACAGCTATTCCTTATTTGTGCACATTAATTATGTTTTTGATAAAAATCCTTTCGCTAAAATTCCATTAGAACGCTTATAATATTAGGTGTGTCTTCGGTGTCCACCATATTGGATCAGTCCATTTGCTGCACATGTTCAGAAAGGTCCAAACAGACAGCAGCAAACCATTTGAAAACAAACCATGCAAAGAGCAGTGTTGCCAACTTAGCGTTTTAGTCGCTATATTTAGCCACTTTTCAGACCCCTCTAGCACTTTGATTTCTAAAAAGCTCCTAGCGCCAAATCTAGAGACTTTTTTCTGCTACTGGAGACTTTGGAGACAACATCTCAAAGCAGCGAACTCTGCTCTCCAGAGTGAGTAGATTGGTAACCCCGCCTCCTGCTCTCCTCTATCTTGTCTGCTGTCATGATTCATGCAGCTATTATTTCATCCAAATGAAAAATGGAGAACAGAGAAGCAGATCATGGCTTGTCTACAGTGAAAAGAAGGACTGGGTTATTTACTTTGGCCTTTTTGGAAACACAGGAAGGAGCAATCAGCTAAGTGAGCTTAGTGCTTGGAAAAAATCTTTCATTCCTTTAGAGACAGCATGAAAAGTCAGCTGAGTACAAAACATAGAGAGGAAAAAAAGAAGAAAAGGGACAAGAAGAGAGGGACAAAACCTAGAACAGATAATGGATGTCTATTCTATAAAAATGTCTCTATCTGTGTAATGGGACTGTTTTATGTGTTTTCTTCTTAATTCAACAAATTTGATCCTATAGATGAAAAATACAATACCAACAATATGTATAATAAAAGCAAAGGACCAAATAGCATTGGCAGTATTTAATTGCTCTAAGTATTGGTCTCATTAATGTTATGAAAAAAGCATGTAGTAAAGAGTCTGAATTTATGATTTGCTAAGAATACCAGAAATAATAAACAACTATATTTTCTGCTCTATCATACATTAACTAGATGTTATATTCAGTCACTTAGTGCTTGAGCCTTTTTTTAACCAAATGTACTCTTTCTTGAATTATGTTTTTATTTTTTCACCTTATACATAATAGAAATATATTACACTAATGCTAATCTTACCTGTGTACAATGTGGAGCGCTCTGCCCACCTTTGGCTTCCTCCAAAGCTGCTGGGGAATGGGATGCTCAGACTTCTGATTGCACTATTATTATCCGACCAGTAGGGGTCAGTATTATAACGTTAATTGGACACTTCAAGCGGCAGCAACCAAGATTAACTAAAAAAAAAAAAACCGAAAATTTATTTTAACATAGCATTAATTTTTTTTATCATACTCTAAAACAACACCTTTTTAATAGTTGAATTAAATCTTAATAATCAGTTTTCTATCAATTTAATTTGTCAACTGCTTTTCTGTTGCTCTTAGAAACCCAGTTGTTTTAGAGCTGTGCTTTATAGATGCACATAATGGGACAGAAAATCTAGTCTTTAGCATTCTGATGCAAACACTGCTGATGCTGAAGCTACAACGTTAAAATTACTTTAAAAAATGGTTGGGGTGTGTGTTATACACAAACGTTTAAATATATATGATGATACAA